CTCTCTCTCTCTCTCTCTCTCTCTCTCTCTCTCTCTCTCTCTCTCTCTCTCTCTATTTCTCTATTATTACTACTACTAATACCACTACTAACACCTTCTCTTCACCCGGCCGCACCGCTTATTCTACATCCCGTAACTCCACTTTCAGAGCTATTGTCCATCGTGCGAATGGTCCATGCGGGGGTGACGGGATGGGGGCACGTGGATGCCCACGGGAAATTATTAGTTGTGAATCTATTCATCTTACCAGAGAAAACCGCTACGGGATATCCTGATACGATTCTCAATATGCTTCGTAATAAAGCTGGACGCGCGCGCCTCGAAATTTCTAGCCCGGAGGGCAACCAGCTGCGCGTGTATTTCTGCCATTCTCAACCAGAAAATGCGAAATGCACGCTTTAATACCGTGAAAATGTAAAAACTGAATATCGGATGATTAAGCGAGCGGGAAAGTGGGATGAACGTTCGATGGAGATTAGCTCTGGAGCTTCTGTTTATTATTGAAATATAAAATAAAGATTTGAAATAAAAACGGGATTACGTCGTAATCATGATTTTGCGACAAATGATACTTTTTTCGTGGAGCGCATATATACTGTTACAGACATATTAACACAACTTTTTTAATCCATTTCTATTTTTAAGTCTTTAAACGTTTCAGTTTTTTCGGAAATTACGGATTCTGCCTTTAAAAACAACGCGTTCCATGAAACTTAATTATATTATGAGTTTTATGAGGCTATATATTTTACGAGAAATTTTTAAGAGAAAGGATAAAAATGTCCGAATGCTCCGATTTTTCGCTCCTTTAGGCAAATGCACTTTGCACAGCAATTTCATTCGTACTCGTGACACAATAGTAAATGGTACTGCACCGCGAGACCGCAGAACTCCTAATTAGAGCGGACGAGATCGATTTCCTGCGGAGGTAGTTAGAAAAGCGACTAAACGAACCTGCTTTACAAGAAGGCGTCAACGGAAAGCATATTCGATTCAGCGCTGATTGCATGAAAGAAGACAAGCTCGTAAATCGTATGTCGATTTCCGATATTTCTCACGTTTAAAAAGATCTTCATATATATTTATGAAATTGTATCACGCGCTACATCCGATATACTATGATTTTACCATTATGCTATGTGTGTAGAAAATTGACAAGCATCGCATATTCAAACTTGAAGCGAAAAATAGAACCAACTAATATCGTAACATTTTTTATCTTGCAAAATATATTTGGAAGTTATTATTGTAGAAATTTAGAATACTTTTTCTGAGAAATAATAATGATGATGATTTTTTTTTTAAGAATTTAAAGAATGCATAGTTAACTCAATATATAATTATTTCTAACATTTCGTACCAGATATTCTAATTAAACATCTTAATATTTCCTCGCATTTTTATTGTACCTACATATAGAAGCGATGTAAGATTGCAAATATTAATACATTGTATGAATTTCATTAATAAATATTATATTAGATTGCATGTTGCTGATTAATCAGCAAAAAAACAAAATTATCGGAGTAATCGCGAAACGCTTTGAAAAACAAAATACCTGTATCCGATAGATATCTGTTGGCTCGCGTGAAATTGCAATAATATGTTTATGCGGTAAAAATCGTGCGAAAAGTACATAAATCGTGAGATACAGGACAATACCATAGATAATGGCGACACTGTATGGGAAATGGGAATACGATTATTCTAGTGATCCCTATAACACGGCGAACGCGGAAGGACGCTGCGGCACTTGCAGTCCGGAGATCTCATATCGATAACAAACAGCAGGAACTCTCGCATGAGGTGTCTAATTAGAGCCGATAAGCTTGATTTCCGCGACACGCACGCACATACGTGCGCAATTGTGTTTGAACAGGTCCGGCAGAACAATCATGTTACGGCATTATGCACGGAAATTCGTTCGCAACTTCATTAATTGATCGTTGCAAATCGTATCTCTCTCAACAATTCCGAGGCTATCGGTTTTTATCCATGAACAACATTGTGAAAATTTTGAAATACAGTTTGTGAAATTCACAAAAGCTGATATTGATTAAATTTTCGAAATTTTCCAACTACTTTGATCGGAATACATTAAAGAAAATTTATTATTCTAAATTATTCTAAATAAATTAATTAATAGAAATAATTTTACTTTCGGTCAAAGCGAATCTCTTAATACTTAATAATACTAAATGCAAATTTATGCAAATATATTTCAGTTTCATAGACTGCGCGCCGATAAGATTTGTTCGATTCGAAACACAGTCATACTTCAACTGAAGCTGAAGAAATTAATATCTTAAATTAAATTGATTTTCCATTTAATTTCCATTTAATTTCCGTTCATTTTAATTCATCCATATTATTCCAAATAATTATTTAAGATGTATATATAATATGTTACAATAATGTTGAAAACTTGCATTTTTATTGGAATGTTTCTTTAAAAG